AATTTTTTAAATATAAATATTCAATTATTTAAAATATATATAATCAAATGCTATTTATTAACTTGTAAATTTTAATTAAAAAATCTAGCTTGCTTAATATAATTGTAAAATATATATGCATTTTAAATTTTTATATAGTATAATACTATATAAATTGAATAGATTAGTGGATTCACAAAAATTTAGCAAAATCAGCTAAATTTGGATCGAAATAGGCTGAAATTAATATTTTTTTTCCAAAATTACCTAAAATTTTACTAATAAAGTGGCAGTTTATATACTAAGTAAAGCTACTCAAATAATAATTTTAATATAATATAGTCAGCCAGTATTATTACTTAATGCTACCTTATTTTAGCCTATTCCTGACTCTAAATTCAAACTGATTTCTAAATATTTGTGGACTTACTAATCTATTTTATAAATACTTAGAATTTTAAATTTGATAAAATATAATAAATCCAAATTTTATATATAATCTTTTAAAAAATACAATAAAAAATAAAAATTTCAAATTTACAAATTATAAAATTACAAGTCATAGACATGTCACTACTATTAATATTTGACATTATTTTTTTAAAATGTTTAGATTACAAAAGCAATTATTTATATATAATTTTAGATAACTTGCAATATAAAAAAAAAAGGTTAAACCTATAAGTTAAAATCTTAAAGAACTTTAATTAAAGCTTAAGTTCAATGATTTTTAAACTGTTAGAAATTCTTTTAATCACTTATATCAATATTACTAAAATTCTCCAAAAAGCTAATAATAAAGACTATTATACATATAAGAATAACATTATTTTTAATATACAAATACAGCTTATTATCAACACACATACATATATGGCTTGTTTAATAAATTTTTTTATAGTTTATTATCAGCTTGCTCTTTAGCTAAATTAATTTTCTAAAAGGTTTATAGAAAATAAGATTATATAATTGAATAAATTGAATAAATTAGCTAATATAATAATATAATTGTTTTATTTACTTATATATTGAATATCTTCTAACTACTTTATAATTAACATTAAAGTTTATTTAAGATTACTCATATAATTAAGGATAAAAAGCATTTTTGAAACTAAATCTCTATATACTTCATATGTCTGTTTTATAATTTATTAAATTTGTTAAAAGATAAATACATAAAATATAATTTTTATTATACCAACTTTAAATACATATATCTTTTCTGGAGAGTAATAATTTCTGACATGCAAGAATTCTAATTACATAAAATTTTAACATAGTAAATAAGCTTCATATAGTAAAATATAACAAATTAATAAGAATAGTAATATTAGAAGCTTATCTGAAGTTTGTGAAATTTAAATTCTGTTTAATGTTCTTAAATAAATAATATATTTAAATATATATGCAAATAATAAAGATAGGATTATAATTGACTAGCAATATAACAGCTAATATGATTAATTTATTTTAATATAATAGTTAAATTACAAAAAAGTGATTTATTGCTATATTTAATAAGATTATTAAAAAATTTTATATAATTTTTTGCAATCTTTGTTTTATATTAGAAGTATTAAAGTAATTAAAAAATTCATATATTGAATTATTAATGTTTAATAAACCTAATCTTTTATCAAATAATACAAAATTATCTTTTCCAAGATAATAGATAAAGGAGGAAAGTAAAATATAAGTAAAAACAGTATAACTATTATTTAAAATTAAGAAAAATAAATTGTAACAAAGCTAAAAAAAACTTTTACAGAAATATATAAAAGTTCATCAATATTTGTATATGACTTAATAAAAGAATGATAGTTCAAATTTTTGTAATAAAGTGCAAGAATTTGAAAAAAAAATAGTGTCATTAATATATCTAATTCCAAATCTATCTTGTATAACTAGATGTACTAAACTAACATTTGCAGTTGAAATTTTTGCTAGCTCTATAGAATAAATGTCAGAATTAGAAAAATTAAAAGATTTGAACCTAACAACAAAATTTAATTATTAATTAATTAAGTCAAAATATCTAATACTCAATTACATATTAGAGTGATCAAAAGTAAAAACAAGAGAATTATCATATAAAACAGATTTTAAGTACTACTAAAACATCTTGTTTTTACCTATAACTATTTTCAAAAAATCCAAATACTATACTCAAATGCCTTTTTTTTATTCTTACTAATGCCTAAGCATTTATATAGCAAAATCTAGTATTAGATTATAATTACTACTTTTTACAGATTTTGATAGCAGCACTTACATCTTTTTTATAATAAATCCAAGATTATATCACCCATCAAAATTACCATTTTTAACCTATTTATATCTTTTTTACAAGTGAATTCAAGATTATACTGTTTATAAAAAACTAATTAAATATTTCTTTATAATATATGCCTTATTATTAACAGATTGAATTATCATTCTTAGCAGACTTTAAATACTATACAAATACTTTTTCTTCACCTTTAATAGTGCCTATGCCTTTTTTTTGCTAGCTAATTCAAGCTAAAATTTTTACTAAGTTTTAAATCTTGCTTAAATGTCTTCTTTTTGTTCTTAGTAATGTTTATATCTCATTTATAGATAAATCATGATTATTTGTTCAATAGGATTAATATTATTAGAAAACTTTAAATATTATTTAAAATGTTTTCTTTCATTCTTAATATTGCCTATCTTTTTTATAACAGAATCAAAGATTGTATTATCCTTGATTGTCCCATATTGTAATGATATAGTAGCAGAATTTATAATAAAATGTCTACTAGAATTGCACTTTAAATAGATTTTAAAAACTATTCAAATCTGTTATTTTATTCTTATCAATATCTAGGTCTTTATAGAATTAAACTAAAAGATATTAAATTCTCTAGTTTCTACTTTTAATCACTATTTACTTAATTAAATAACACTTATTAACAAAAAAAGCCATAGTGAATATTAGTTTAGAACTTAATAACTTTCGATTATTAAACTTTAATACAGAAGTTAATAAATAAAATTAACTTACTAACTAAGTTTTTTTATTTTATTATTTAGTTGTTCAAGTTTTGACCTTATTTTTCAATAATTTTGATATAGAACACTAGAGCAAGCAGTTTCATTTGAAGAAAGTTTTAATATAAGACTGCTAAATTTATTGTTTAAAGTAAATTTGAATAATTCTGTGACTTTTCTTTCTATTCTTTGATTAGTATATGCTTCATAGTTATAGTGTTAGTTGATTAATATAAAAAATTCAAGCTTCTTATTGATAACTATAATATTAATATCCATTTCTATATTAAAATTCTAAGATTGTTGAGTAAAACTAAGTATCAAGTCCAATTGCAAGCACCTATTAGAAAAGTTATTATCATTCTCAATTTAAAAATAAAAATGTAATTAAAAAAAAATCCTAATAAAGATTAATTCAAATAAAATAGCATAATATTTAAAATAAATGTTTTTCTTACTTCAGTTAGTGCACTAAACTTATCTTAAGTACTAACTTCTGCAGCTGCTATTGATATAAAAATACTTTCTGTTTGTAAATTATTATTCCTTTGAAGTTCAGTAGGTTGTTCTCTGATTTCATTTTTATCATTATTTGAAATAGTTATAAAGTTATAAATCCAAGTATTTAATATCATCTTAAGAATGTCTCTGGCTAACACAATGGCTTGTTTATAAGCATGATGAACAATTTTCTTAATATTATTATCTAAAAGCCAATTCTGTAAAACATTCAGATTTTCTAAAACATTCAAATCTGAATAATGTGATATATAGCCTAAAAAGTATTAGTTTTTTTTTTTAAAAAAAAAAATTTTATAATCAGATTTTTATAATAAATATACTAATCAACACCTGTTGTTTTTTCTTTTTTTGACTTAAGAGAGCCTAAGGAATATACTTTATACAAGCATACAATTTTTGGTATTAATGCAACTAAGTCATTAAAGGAGAAGTCAGAAAGAAACTAACAGGCTAAGCCGAAAAAGTGTTTACATTTTTTTGAACTATATATCCATGGTGTAAAAGGATATTAGAGATAGAAATTTCAGTAGGCAATTGTTAAAAGAATCTAAATATAAAAAGTTATATGTTTATTATAACATAATAATAATTTATATACAATTATATTTGAGTATCATAGATTCTGAAAGACATGATAAAATATTAAATGTTACTGGTGCAATAAAATACTTTTTAATGCTTATAAATTTAGGATAATCTTCTGCACAACTTTGAATATAGCTTTTCTAATGATTTAAAAAAAATAAATCTAATATAACCATTCTGCATCTTTCAAGCAGTAAAATTTTACAATTTTGAAAAGCATCAATTAATTCACTTATAATAAAATTTTTATTTATCAGTTAATTTATAAAGCAATTAATCAGGTTTTTTTAAAAATTATTTAATCAACTATAAACAAATAAAAAAATGAATAATCTATATTTTTCAGTATCAACTTGATTGTTTTTATTAATAACTTAACTAAAAAGTAAGAAACAAAAAAGTCGATATGCAGTCCCATCATCCTGACAATTAATATTTTCAATATCATTCTTATATAAAATACTTTTTAGATTCTTTCTTAATTCTAAGATTTGATTATATCATACTGAATATTTTTCAAATGATAATAAGCAAGCTTTAGAAAAAAGTGCATTGCAGCAATCTTTTTTTCTATATAAAGAATCAGTAATATGAATTATAGAACCAATATTAGGGTAAATAAGATAGCTAAAATTAATATCTAGAATAATAATAATAAATTTAGAATAAACTTGCTAAATTAATTGGATTAAATTTGTGAAATAATATTTAATTTATCATAAAGCCTGTCTTTAAAAACTAATTTTTTTGATATTTTTATTTGCATAAGTTGCTTTTGAGCATTAAACTTTGCTAAGATCCTATTAGCACCAAATCCAAGAACTTTAAGTTGAATTTGGATTGTCATATCAAGTAATTTTTTATATAACTCAAAAATACTTGCTGCTGTTTTCTTTCTCTAGTTTGCAATTATCGCAATAACACATAGTAAAAATTTTGGAAGAGGAACTTATAATAATAAAGAAATATATATTATATATATATATAAGACCAAGCAAAATTAATTTTTTGGTTCTTATAACCTGGCCAAGTAAAATTTCATAAAACTAAAAAAAATTATATATATTTACTACTCAAGTAGTTTTTTAATTAAAACTGAATATTAGATTACTTTTAAATTTTATATTATAAGAACTAAAATATTAACTTTATATAGTCTAATAATAATTAAGTATACTTTTTATTAATAACTACTATGTTTATCTGTAATAAGTAAACACAAACTTAAGAAGCAATAGCATTACAAAACTTGATTATATTACAATTTTGTAAATATCTTCATGCATAAAAACTCTAGTTAATTTTGTTAAAAATGTTAAGCCAATAATGCAACTAAAAAGAGAAAAAAATCCAAGTTTTTCCTTAATTTTGGTATTGTCTGATATTGTGATAATTGGACCAGTATATTCAATTATATCTACAAGTCTTTTAACTTATGCTATATTTTCAAAATATAACTTAGGATTATGAAAAACATAAGGTAAGCATATGTGCTGTAATCTTTAAGAAAAAATTAATTTTTTAATAATAAAATAAAATAAAATAAAATAAAAAAAAATCATATATATCTAATGTTTTAAATAGCATATTTAGTTAAATTTTGCCAAAAAATATTATATGTTTATGAACTAAGGCTTGCAAGTATAACCAAAAAATTAGAAAATAGATCTGAATACTTAAGATTTTGAAGGCCTTTTTTATGTTTTTCTCAATTTGCAATCTGAACTATTATATGACATAAGCTTTTAAATATTTTTTTATTATTAAAACTACTATTTTTAATATTTCTACAAATTTTGTCCAAAAAGAATTGTCATTGTTTGTATTGGTATTGTTTGCTAAATATAAAAAATCATTAACATCTTGGTTATAAATATATTTAGCAATTAGATTACTTTAAACCTAAATCTTTAGCATAAATTTTTTTTGGGAATTTGGTTTGTTTTGTTTTGATATAGCATTCTATATTGTTATAATGCTATAAATAAATTTTTATTAAAGCTTACTAATTATTAAAAATTATATGTATACTTTAAAAACTTAATTGTTTTAGATTTCTTTACAATAGTTACACAGACAAGAGAAACTAGTAGTATATTGCTTACATAAAACAAATTATACTACTAAACCTTTAATTTTCTATTTAGATTGTTGAATTATTTTACTATCCAATAATTGCAATTTATTTTCAGAAAGATTTTTATTTGTGTCTGGAGGAAATTTTTTTGGAAAAAGTTGCTAAGCAATAGCTTTTCTTCTTGGTGCTCCACTGTAAATAGTATGAATAAATACTTAATTAATATAAGCTTTATAAATTGGGCTGTCTAATCCAGTACAAGTAAATTGTTTCATAATGGGCTTATTATTCTTTAAAACTGGTAAAAAAAAGTTTAAAATTAAAATAATGCCATTTTGAAGCTTGTAACTATTACCATCAACATGATTTTTAAAATATGTTTTATCATAAGCTCATTTAAGTTTAATAGCTTTTTCACATTACAAGTAACTAGAAAACTACAATCAGATATATAAACTATTGTTGAATTTTTTAATAAGCATACTTTTGTATACTTAACTATTTTTGAAATTTATAAACACAAACTATATATGAATACTGTTTTACTATCCAATTTAACCAATTTTAAATGTAACCTTATACAACTTTATTCTTTTATTTACTTTTAATAATATAACATTAATAACTATTATTTGGTTTTAAATATAACCTTTAAACTAATAACCAGTTTTCAAATATAATATTTCTATAAAAAATTAATATTTTTAGCCAAAATTTCAATATAACCTCTATATGTATTATTCAAGATTTTGCCTAAACCTTTCAGCCATGCTGATATAACATGAGTTACAAGTATTTAATCCTAACAAATTATGAAAAACAGTTAACTATAATACAGAAAGATTTGCAAATTTTCACTATCACTGGGATTTGAACTCTAGACCTACCACTTGAGTGTTGACAACCTATCTACTTCACTAGATCACTACACCTCTCACTTATAATTATTATCTTGCTTATATAATTATATTTATTATACTTATGATTCTATTAATTACTTTATTATACTAATATCTTACTATATTGTATATAATCAAAAACTTATTCTAAATAAAAGATAGATATATTTATTTTGTGTTACTTTGATTATCACTTTTAGGTTTACTTATTTTTATTTAAATTTTCAATTTAAAATATATAAATATTTCAATATATTAATAAAATAATAAATTAATAAATCAAATTGTATAACTTAGATAATATAAAAAAAAATTGCAAAAATGTAGCAACTTAGTAAAATAGATAAGTTGTCAACTTTCAAATATAAGTTGAGTATTTAAATCTCATTGATAACAAAATTTAAATAATTATTTATATAATACTTATATTATAACAACTGTTTCTAATAATTGAGTTAAGATATCTGTAATAATAGTTATATCAGCTTGATTGGCAAGTTATAGAGCATTTGCATAACTAATTATTTAGAAAAATACAAACCAGTATTGGATAATACAAAATTTAAATAATTTCTTATAACTATGTAAATCTGTTAAAATTAGAAAACAAGAAGTTTATTTAAGAAGACCTGAGTAAAAAGTAACACAAATCTTTGATAATAATATTGTAAAGACTAAATCTAGAAAATAAATATTAATATTAAAGTACCTAAATGAGTAAGAACTTTAGATATGAGACATCACTAATTAGACTACTAAAATAAACTAAAAAAAAAGAATATTAGACTAATCTAATAGATTAATAAACTAGTTATAGCTCTATATAGTTCTATTTGAATTAAAAATCTGAAGAACAGACAAGAATATACTAAAATACTAGAAATATTTTATAAAATAAATACTAAAGTTTGAGTGAACTCTACAAAGAAACAATAATTAAATAATATAACTCTAACTACAAGTATTGATTTTGCTATAGTAATATCTAGTTTAGCTATAAAAAATAGATACAAAAAACTTTAAAAGGTTTATCTTAAAGATAAAATAATCTTAAAGTTAAGATAATAATCTAGACATGACCTAATAATGTTAATACAGATGCAGATTTAGAAGGTTTAAAATAGAACACTCAAACAGAAGTATTAGATACAGCAATTAGTAAGAAATCTTTAAGCAAACTTATTAAATAGATAATATAAAAATATTATATATATAGTTAATTGTATACTCTTTATATAATAGTTTATAAAATTACATTACCAAAAAAGTTAATAAAAATTAAAAGACCAAAGTGATTATTTTTTAAAAAAATAAAAAAATTTATTTCTAATCTTAGTTTAAATAACAATATATATTTTTATAATTATATATAATATATTTGTAAAGTTTAAAAATTATTTTTTTAATTTAATTATTTTATAAATACTATTTATTTTTTTAGAATTTGAAATTTATTTAATATGTATATAGGTGATATCAATAGAAAAGAGCCAAATTTTTTCTAAATAAAAGTTTTCTTAACTTTAAGCTTAATATCTTAACAACTATTTTATTAAATTTGCTAAAAAAATTTTTATTTTAATTTTATATAATTTTAAGATTAAAATAAAAAAAAAAATTTTAAGATATAGTGACCTAGTGAAGTGATCAGGTTGTTAACCTTTCAAGTGGTAGGTTGGGTGTTCAAATCTTATCGATAGCAAAAATTTGGATAATTATCTATATAATATTCATATTACAGCAACTGTTACTAACGATTGGGTTAGGATACCTGTAATAGTAGTTGCACTAGTATGACTAGTAGGTCATGGGGCATTTGTGTAACATATCACATAACATTGTTTTTTGGGACAAGGTTGTGGTTACATGAAAGAATGCAAACTGGCAATTAGGTAGTACAAACACTAGATAAGTT